TGCGACAACAATCTGAGCGCACGCGTAGTCGTTTTCACACTAGGGTAATAAACTGTAAACGTGAATGTTAACAGTTTACGTGAGAAACATGAGTCAAAAGGCTGATTGTTGTATCACTACTTAATGAACTGACCTTTAGTTTCAGCTTCTCGGCAATGTCGATAAAGTGAAATACTGTAGGTCATAATGACACAGCAGGGTCTTTCTTTTGATAATGTCTTATCACACTCCTCCACTTTACCTGATAACCCTTGCTTGACGGTGCACTTGTGCGATTAAGTTGTGGTTTCAATTCTACAATTTCAGTTGACAAAATACTTTTTTTCACTTGCGTTATTTCCACTGGAGTAAGAAACAAATCAGCAGTTTGTGCTGAGAAAGCTGCCAAGTGTCCAGATGGACTTTAACCCAGCTCTAAACAACGTTATTCACGCCATTGCATCTGTCCTTACTTGAAGAACTCCTGGCTTGCGGTAGATGTGTAACTGCTGTTGGTTGCATGGCTGGTACAGTTGGGTGTGTTCCAAGTGTTGTTGCAGTTTTGCCATGGCAGTGGGTCCTGGAAGGAGCTAAAGAGATAATAGAGTGCCCAGGTGATGACAACATTGTAATAGGTGCACATTATGAAGGAGATCGCAACTGTTGCCATGCCCACTCCTAGAGATAAAAAAAGGGTGGTGTCTGTGTTATTTTTTATGTTCCAGGATTAGTTTGGACACATTTGAGAGACGGTCGTCAGCTATGCTTGACTCCTGTACCTTTTAGCAGTGGACAGGCATAAGCCAGAGCATGGACAGGCCCTCTCCTTGTGAACTGGCCCATGATCAGCTCCATGTGGAGAAGAGGAATTCCCAGTACCACCAGCATGAGCAGGTATGGAACCAGAAAGGCACCTGGAAATAAAGTCAACGAATATAAGTAACGAAGTAATGGTTACTTATACCAAAGTCCTGGTTGTCATTTTTATCATCATTATGTTGCTACAGTGCATATTATGCTGACATTTGCTGTTTAGCATTGTAAAGTTTTGCTGCATTTGTGTTACAAGGTTGTGTTTGGAATTTATGCTGAAGTGAAAATTGCAGTTAACAGGTG